AATTCATGCATTTTAATGGCTTCAAACTCTTTTTGCAAATTAGGGCTACAATGCCGTGCCAGTTCATAAAACTTCTCAATGTATTTCTATCATATCAGGGCAAGTGACTGTTTTTGGCCATTTCATTAATCACATTATTTGGCATGAAAAACAAAAATACTACAGAAGTAATGGTGTCTTTTTCTGTCCTCCTACAACCCTCTTGGCTTAAAATATTTAATGTCACAGTATTTTAATGAGTGCCCCTGTAAAATATAAAATATGTTTTAATTTTAGCAGCCATAATCCAAAAAGAAATTTGCTCCGCTTTCCTTTGCACTGCACCAGGAGGGATAGCATGATTTAAACTTTAGATGGGGGGAGCCCTGAGGAATGCAGGGAGCTGAACAGTGTTGCCTTTGCAGGTGGGAGTTCGAGCACATCTTTGGTATCCAGTACATGTATTTAAGGTTTTTCAAAAACCTTTTTTATTTATGTGTCTAAAGCAGGACATCCAAAATGCATTTGGCATAAGAAAGTGAGTCTTGCTTTTAAAAAAGGTCTAGTCAAAGTCCAGAAACTTAAATCGCTATAGCAATTTGGCTGTCATCAGTTTATGATTTTATCAAATTTCAAAGTGTATAGGGACTTTACAGAGTGGGCGGTCTGGCAGGCCTTTCTGCACAATGCATCCGGTTACTGGAAACCATGATATCACAGAATCCATAAAGAGGAAATCGCCCCTCTGATTAAAAACTGTTTTTTGGAAACAACCCACAACATCTGACATTCACAATAACATGAATTCCAGGTTTCTAGCTTTGCAGTATCAGTCTAAGTTTGATAGACTGGATTCCTGTAATCATTCTCTACAGTTTAGAAATTTGCCATTTAAAGAAAAAGATCAGTAGAATGAAAATGAAATGCTTCACCATCTAACCCACACCCTGCTGTGTTCTGTGATATTCATAGTATCAGTTTGACAGGAAATCCTGTTATTTTTCAAAGCAGAAAAATCGACTCCAAATAAAACCAGCTTTAAATTTAAAGTTGAACTGTAGTTTCCTCTGGACTCTTTTATAGAGATATGAGTGTGAAACATACAGCATATTTATCTGCATCATCTCTATGTTAATGCTTAGACAGTGTGCATCTACATCTTACATATCCATATTTGGAGTCCCTCAGCCTACAGCTGCATGACGATCCCATCCTTACCTTAGGGTCTCAGATCGCTGGCCTGGAAATATGATCCAAACCAAAGATGAGGCTTTTAGTATTAGCTACTCCCTAATTAACTTAGAGATGTTTGAGACCAAACTGATAAAACAGACCAGAGTCACTCAAACAGAGTTTATAGTAAGTGAAAAATTTCCTAAAATTATTTGAGCTATTTCTTCACTTTTCAGCAACTGCTTTTACTTCAGGGTCGTACCAAAATTGGAAGATGTGTTTACTGGCTGTGTGAGACAACAAATCAGACGTCAGAGTCTGTGTGGGATCAACCCACTGAGATTAAAGGGTCATTACTAGTGGTTCCTAGAACTTCTAAAAGTAGAATGGGAGGCAGATCTTTTAGTTA